ACTCTCCATCTTAGTTAGCAGGCAGGCACTTATTCTTGGTTGCTTTAAAACAGTTTTCTTAAGGAATTAAGTGCTAGATTTTAGTCATGTTTTTAAATTAGGAGATGTTTACATTTTTATTATATAACATGGACATGCTATTTACTAATAATTTCCAAATATAATTTTACTTTCTGGGAACTTATGACAATTTCTAGTCCTGAGATGTTTTGTTTTTCCCTGACTCCAGACATCTTGAACCCTTCCCTCTCCTCCCCTCTCCCTGTTGTTTTCATAGCTTTGTACTTGCAAAAGGACACTGATAGTCCTTTATATTTTACATTCACAAAACACACCATATGTAGTCAATAGGACTCTAAAATGGTAGAGATGAATCTCTGAAGTTGATGGTGCCATTCTTATATTTGTTTTCCATTCCCATTGATTTCACACACATATATATTTATATAAAAATAACACATATATATTTTTTATAAAGGACCGGTGGCCAAAGATCAGTGTATGATTTGGAGAAGACAGCCCTGAGGTATGCAGCAGTATCTTCCTGCAAAGACAAAGGCAAAAGCAGTGGCAAGGAAGCTGGGGCATGAAACTAAGGCAGCCAGCAGAAAGCATCGTCTAGAAGCAGGAAGTCACGGTTTGCCTATTGTTAGGATGAAAAATATGTGCAATCACTATCCTGTTATTAAGTTTGTGAACCTGAATAAACTTTTTATATCCTTTTAGAAAAGATAAGGTTTTCTTTTTTCCCAGTAGTTCAAAGAACTGCTGGAATTTCATTTCTATCTTCATCATTCGCTTAACAGTAGTCATCAATGGTCTATATTGTAACATCTTATGGTAAAAGTGCTTTGGGGATTAGAAAATATACAGAATTTATAGGATAGGATCTGGACAAAACGAACACAGATAATTACATTGCACATAAAAGGTGTTAAGTGAACAAGAGGAAAGTGTTATAAAAGTTGACAGAAAAAGACTATCGCTTTTACATAAGAGAATTTGAAAAAGAGAAAAAATATTTGACCTGTGATTGGAAGGAACAGAACATATTAGATATGTGGATAAATAGGGTGTTAGAATGATAGACCATTGCTAACTATTGTTGAGTGAATAATGAAGATGTGAATTTTGAAACTGGGAGGCTATGTTGTGTTTGGGGTATACTCTCCTGGAGGGAAACGCGATAGGGTGTGGAGGTATGGACATCAAGGAGTGTACTAACTGAGGCTGAACTAAAGATATACCCATGAACTAGAGCAGAAGACAAAAAGCAGACATGGCAAAGGTGGAATTGATAAAACTTGACAAATAAAGGCATGCAGTGGTAAAGGTTAACATTAATTCTAAGGTGTAGGAGATTTGGGGGCCCTTCACCAAATTAGGAGAATAGGGAACAGTTGAGAAGGAGTGAACAAAAATTGAACATTGACAAAGCAAAGCTGACACCCATCCTGGCATTTCTGTAAACCTGGGTTTGTGCAAACCACACAACCCTTAGCAAATGAGATGAAACAGTGTGGTGTGATTTAGGAGCTAGAGGAACTAAACATGTAACATAGAATAATGATATTTTTTCTCTCTTTTGGTATTTTCTCTTTCCTTTAAATTCTTCAAATACACCTTGTTGATGTGATTGCATTGTACTTAATCATTTTTGCTCGGAATTCTTCTTTCATTTTCCCTAAAATATTATGCTTGTGTCCCAATAATATTTGAAGCTTATAAAGGACCAAGGACCTGATATCACAGCTTTGTAACTGCATGGAGAGGACATTATAAGGTACTAAATAAATATCAGGAGGTAGATAAATACTTATATATTTATTGGTTGATAAAATCTAATTGCCTCCACTAAGTCATTCCAGAAGTCTCTCATTTAAATGTTACAAAGATGAGTAATAGCTTTTGCCAGCGTTTCTCAATCTTGGCGTTATTGACAATTTTAAGTCAAGTGATCTTTATTGTGTAGGTGGTCCTGTGCATTGTACGATGTTTACAGTATCCCTGATCTCACTAGATGTCAACAGTATCCCCTTCCCCCAAGCTGTGACACAAAAATGTCTTCAGACATTGCAAATGTCCTCTGAAGGTAGAATGACCAACTGTCCTAATTTGTCTGGGACTGAGGGAGTTCTTGGAACACAAAACTTTGAAGGTTAAAACTAAGAAAGTTCTGAAAACCAGAATGCGTTTGCCACCCTACTGGGGGAACAAAATTGCCCCTCGTTGAGAACTACTGACCCGGGGGAACAGAGAGCCATCTATGTGCAATGAACTCCAAAAATCGTAAGTACTACTGTGGAGGCACACCTTTAGAATGCTTGGAACCCACAGAGAAAATACTCATTTTCAGTGAGGTGAAAAGGATTGGGGAAGACTTTTAAAAATAAGGAGGCACTTCAGGTGGTGCATAAAAGCTTGAGTAGATTTTAACAGGTGAAGACAAGCCATCCAATTGGAAGCAATTGTGCAAGCAAGTGGGTGGGAAGGTGTTACACAAGTCCCTGGATGAGTGAGCTAGCGTGGTGAGTACTGGTATAAGCAGGGGCAGGAAGGTGAAATCCAAACTAAGATTCGGAAGGCAGGACAGAGTCAGGTCTTGAAGGGCTTTCTGTCTTAAATAACAGTTTAAAACAACAATAAATAACACCTATACTATATACCAAGCTTTTTCTGCATTCATTACTGATTTTGACTCACTTCATCGGCACAACCACCCTAAAGGTAGGCAGTATTGTACCAGCTTTACAGATGAGAAAACTGAAGGGCACAGAGAGGCCAGCTGACTTGTTTGAGGCCACAAAGTAAGTCAACAAGAGAGTCAGGATGAAACCCCGTTCATCTGACTCCTGAGTTTCATGTCCTGAATTGTCACATTCTCCTGCCTCTCAAATCAACAGTGGAAACTCATTAACTCTCCTGAGTAGCAGAGTGACAAGAGCAAATGTGAATTTTAAAAGCCGGCTCAGATGGCTCTGTAATGTCCAAAACCTGGTGGGTAACAGTGAAATATGAGGGATATATGCTTCACTCCCTTCTTTCCCCATGGCAGCTCTCTAGCTCCCCGCAGATTGCATCCATACAATTCTTGGTAAAAGCCATAACATGGTGAGTTTACAGTCGAAATCTACTGGAAATAATTAGCAGAAATAATTCCATCCGCTAAATAATTTTAGAGCTATGGCAATGCTTAGTGAATGCAAAGGGCTTATGAGAGAGATAGCCAATTACTTTATTAGCAAATGCTGAAAGTTTAAAAACACAGAGGGAACAGGGACACTAAAGTGCTATGGAAATAATGAAATAACACCAAATTTATTTAAAGCTAGTGATAATTAGGTGTTATGTAGCTGGTAATAATTTTCAAAGAAAAGCAGGAGATGCCTCATTACTTGCCTTGGAAACAAAGCTTTTTAGATTTGGACAAACCTTAAAAGACAAGGAAAAAATATGCTATGATCCCCAGAGGAGGATTCATACAACACATCTTTCTATTTTTAACTCGGATGCCTTAATAAAATGGCCTCTCCGACACTCCCATCTCTTCCATCTAAACCCTTCCACAGGAGCCCTGTCCCTTGTCTCATTCCAGATAATTTATTAATAAGCCACCACATAAAAAATGTTCCCTAATAAAACACCCAGGCATTGTGGACTGTCTAATGTAGTTAATTTCAGCAGGGCAACTGAGATTCATGTAGAGATGGCCATATTAGATTAGGGGAGAGATTAGCATCACTGTTGCCATTCCCTGAAGAATAGAGCTAAATACCCTATCCTTCATTCACAGAGCTGAGTTCAGATGATCGTTTTGAAATACCGGTCCTGAATTTGCATGCAATAATACAGACTTCCAGAAGCCAAAGTTAAAGCAGTATTAGATGGAATCTAGAAAGAATTCCCCTTCTCTCTCTCTCCATTCTTCTCACCCCCCACTCCCTGAACCTCCCCCTCCACCTTTTGGGGCAGGTCCAGGAGCTGAAGTATAACTGACTAATTTGTTAAAAAATTAAAATAACCTCATTTTCTCCATGGGAAAAACTACAAACAGGCCAACAAATTGATACACACACACACACACACACACACACACACACACACACAGACACACACACCAGAATTCATTGAACTAGTTAGATTGAGGCAGAACAACATTGGACTACTATTTTTTGGTTAAGCATGCACTCAGAACCATTAAGATTCATATTCCTTTTTAAGCAGAAAACATGATAATTGGCTATTACTTAGAAAAAATAGAAATATTCTCTTTAGAGCATATGTTTCAAAGTGTTTTAGATCCATGGAAATTATGTGAATATTTTTCATACACCACATCTATTGGCAAATGGATTTTGTGACATGTCCACTATCTTTCTCTTTTCTTTACCCTTAGAAGGACAAGGGCAAAACATTGGTTTGAGGCAAATACCTATCTCTTGTCTGCTTGGCACCAATCGAACGGCAATTTAACAATATAACAAGCAGTCATTTGGTGTAGTGCACAACGTAAGCAGATAATCCATTTTGCTAAAAGAACAACCAAGCAACAGAGCAGAACTTGACAAAGCTAACTCATTTCTTGAGGGTTCTATATTCAATCTAATTTGCATAGTTGGTATTTGGCAGCTACACTCTCTTCTGCCCCAAATTCAATACTGTTTGCCAAACTGGCAGCTTTGCAATAGCTAAGGGAAAGATTATATGCCTCAACTCTGGTTTTCCCTTTCTCTGTGTAACAAATTCAAATGGTAAGCCAATAATCTTCTACTAAGTAAGAAAATATAAATATCAAATTTAATAACTGGTTAATAGATGAGCGATCAGCTATCCTTGCAGATTCCTATGCTAGGGTATAATTTCCTTGAGAAGTAACAAAGACTGAAAGAAAGGGCTATATGCTAAGTTCATTCAGAAACTGACAGCCAGGGGGAGAGGAAGGCTATGGGTCATCCACACTTTGTGTCTCTGGTGGGGATCATCCCATTGTCCAAGCTTACCTTCTCCCATGATGGGGTCTTCTTTTTTAGTCTCTACCTCTGATCCTTGGCATTTAGATGAGACATGGACATGATTCTTTTGATCATTAGTCTGGGATGCAGAAATATCTTCACTCTTTATTTCTAAATTAATGAGAAAAGGAAGTGTGTGTTTATTGTTGTTGTTGTTGTTTTCAGAATAAAATAACATTTTTATTTTTAAATGGGCCCTAAGTGTTAAGATATTTCCTTGGATGCCCCCCCAAATGATTGTGAAATAAATGCAATAGAATGCATAGAATAAATCCAGAGAAATAAAGAAACAAAATCCCAACCCTGACTGCCAACTACTGAATACCTGAAATGTGACTAGTTCGCATTGAGATGTGCTGTAAATGTACAACATACACCTAATTTTGAAAACAAAAGTAAAATATATAACATTTTCATATTCATTACATGTTGAAATAAATTTTGATATATTGGGTTAAGTGGCTTCTAGAAAATTACATTATGTGCCTCACATTTGTGACTCATGTTTTATTTTTATTGGACCGAGCTGGCATAGAATGTTACTAATATTTTTTAACCTTTTATTTTGAAATAATTATAGATTAACAAGAAGTTGCAAAGAAACATTCAGGGAGAACAATTTTCTTTATTCTGAAATGTTAATTTTAGCCATTTGAAAAGTATAGGAAAATATATAAAGAGCTGATTACTGCATACATCCCCCCTGCCCCGCATAAAGTTTCTCCTGATCACTTTAAATTTTTAAATATAAATTTAGGAGTCTATGTTCACACAGAACAATAAGAGAATTTAATACAGAGAAATATGCCCATAGATATTGAAAAGATCAAAGAACAAAAAGAGGATACTGGGTAATTGATAGGTTAGTAACTGTAGAAAGAAGCTTCCTGTAGACCTAGGGGAACAAAAGAGAAGAAATGGGGTGAACAGAGCTTAGTGTAGGTCCCTCCAAGGCTGGTAGGTTTAGCTATAAAAGGGAGGATGAGAATTAAATTACTTCACAGAGTCACATGAGATTGAAAATTATGAAAGGTCTTTGCTTTCAAACAGGAAAGCAACACACACAAACACAATGAACTTTAGATTTGAAAACAAAGACCAAAACTTGGGGTTCAAAATATCACTGGCACCTACGCAGGGTGAGGAGATCTTGTTCTTCCGAAGAAAGACCAGGAATCCTGAAGTTTCCTTGTAGTTTGCCCAGACCCATCATGACAAGGAGAGAGGTAGAAATGTCAGGCTGAAGCTGGTTCGAAATAGTGACTCTTCCAGTTGTGTCACCATGCTTCTTCCATTCTCCTCCCTTTATTTTGACTTTCTCTCTTTGCCTCTCCTCATTTTACCTCTCTATATATTCACTCATATCCCTTTGGTTTCCTAATACCTCCTATTATCACAAGTGTTTCATCCACTCATTTGCTGGGAGTTTAAGGTGGGTAGAGTAAGGGATTTGCTTTTCTTTCTCCCACACTCTAAGAACAAAATAGAAGACAGAAAGAAGCCTTTTTTACAGAACTTCTTTTCCTCAGTGATTTTTCCATGTCTTTAGCGAGAGAGAGAGAGAGAGTTGCTTATGGGAAAATGTCTAAGAGCATAATTTCTATGCTCCTAGAGAAAACAAAAATAAAACACTAAGCACTCTCTTCCCTCTTTTGAAGAAGAAGAGGGCATTCCCCTTTGAAGACTTTGAGCTCACCTTTTGGAGGGTTCCCTGGGCAGTGGAGCATAGAGTTTCAGAGAATAAGATCTGGAACCAAACTGCCTGGCTTCTTCCTGACTGTGGACTGTGGGGTAAGTAACTTAGCCTTTCTGAGCCTCATTCTCCACCTCCATAATATAGACATAGTATTTGGTACCTATTTTATAGGGCTGTTATGAATATTAGATAAATTCATGTATCTAAAGTACTTAGAGACTGGTCTATAGCGAGTGCTCAATAAATTTGAACTTTTATTAGTATTGCTATTATTATTTAAGATTAGGCAATTCTTATCTTTACTGTATGAATTAAATAAATTAGCTACATGTAGCTTAATATGTTGCAAAAGTTCATACATGTTTTTCTTTGGGGAAGTAAAAGAAAGGTTAATATGTTATACATAATGGCATTTTTCCTCCAATATTTTCATTCAAAAAAAAACTACATACTTCTGCTTTTGCTTTTCTTAAACCAACAGCACACCAGACAGCACAGAGCCAGCCACGAGACCACTGAGCACAGGGAGGCAGACAAGATGATGGTCGACTTCTCTGACCTAGTCACAGGTAAGATGGCGAATGGCCTGGATCGAGTTGTAAAATTGGTTCCTGTAAAAAAAAAAAAGTCTCAATAATAACTGTGCTAATACAACATTGTGGGAAAATATGTTTACAACACTTAGTAGGTTTAATAAATATTTATTGAATTAAATGACTAAATAAATGAACCTAAAATTAATTCAAGATTTGTATTGCTAAAGAACTACAGGATTCCAATTCCAATGATAATGCACAATTGTTCTCTCTAATTTGTCGAACATTGATGAGGAATTCTTCCAATTCTTCCCTTTTATTCTGTCTTACCTTCTCCACCAATGCAAAATTTCAGTTTCATTCTTATGTTCCATTAATTAAAATAGAAATGCTCTGAGTTCTAGAATGTGTGAAACTACTTGCTGTGACATATGTATCCTACTTAAAATATGGCATGTAGCAAAAAGACATGGCACCAAGACTCTTACTACAGGGTCAAGAGAACTTCAAATGTCAAGAGAACTGCAAATTTTGTTATCTGGAAAAGTGGGGGTAGAGCGTGGTAGCTGAGCCACTTGGCTATGAAAGATGGAACAAAATGGGTAACTCTACGGAGTGAATCTTTCTAAGAATTCATCACAAACGTGTAATAGACTGAACATTTTGACTGCTTACTCCCTTATTATTTTGAAACAAAGCATAAAAGAATCTAAAAAAAAAACGCCTTGTCTATACACATAAAAATATGTACACAAACATTTATAACACCTCTATTCATAATCACCCAAACTCAGAAACAACCCAAATGTTCTTCAACAGGGGGATGAAAAAAATCAACTGTGATTTATCCAGATGATGAAATACTAAGCCAAAAAGAGAAAAAGAAAAAGAAGAAGAAGGAAGGAGAAATGAAGGAAGAGAGAGAGAAAAAAAAGGAGGAAAAGGAGGAGGAGAAGAAAGGAAGGATGGAAGGAAGGAAGGAAGGAAGGAGAAGAGGAAGAGGAAGAGGAAGAGGAAGAGGAAGAGAAAGAGAAAGAGAAAGAGAAAGAGAAAGAGAAAGAGAAAGAGAAAGAGAAAGAGAAAGAGAAAGAGAAAGAGAAAGAGAAAGAGAAAGAGAAAGAGAAAGAGAAAGAGAAAGAGAAAGAGAAAGAGAAAGAGAAAGAGAAAGAGAAAGAGAAAGAGAAAGAGAAAGAGAAAGAGAAAGAGAAAGAGAAAGAGAAAGAGAAAGAGAAAGAGAAAGAGAAAGAGAAAGAGAAAGAGAAAGAGAAAGAGAAAGAGAAAGAGAAAGAGAAAGAGAAAGAGAAAGAGAAAGAGGAAGAGAAAGAGAAAGAGGAATAGAAAGAGAAAGAGAAAGAGGAACAAAGAGAAATCATTATTAAGTAAACTATTTTAATCTAACTAGGAAAATAATGGTAGATGGAACAGCATAAAAAATCAAGGATCAGAGCAGGATTGGATTTAAATTCATGATTATACTCTACCTTATCAATAAGGTGACATAAATTA